TTTTACAGACTAAAAAACTATTGCACAGAGAGGTGAAGTGGCTTCCCCAGAGTCACAGAGCTGGTGCTCTCGACACGTGACAGTAGCCTCTCCCAAGGCTAAACAGAACATGCCTGCAAGACAGGGCGGCAGAGACCGCTCTGCTGGTTTTCCCAGGGGGCCCGTGTAGGGCTGGGCTGCTGATTAAGGGAGTAGTCCCTGCAGGACAGCTGTGGCTTCCCAAGAATAGAACTGCGGGGTAGCCCCTCTGGGCATTCATGCGTTTGGTGGGCTGTGGAGCGAATGGGGCCAGTGCTGCTCCACTGTATTTCTGTCCCAGGGGTTTGCATTGTTCTGGGTTTGGGCAAAAGTTATAGAAGTCGCTGCCCTTCTCTCACCTCCTTCCCATCAGCCACTCAAATCAAGGGCTTAGGGATGGTGTCACTCATCCTCTCCTTAGCAAGGAGGAGCCTCTTCACCCTGAACCTGGAATAACTGAGTTGCGACTGTTAAGATCCCGTTAGCATGCTATAGAGATCTTTTGAAATTTCCAGCAACATACCTCTTTAATTTTACTCGTAAGGAAATTGAGGCCCAGAGAGGGAAAATGTCTTACCCCAGGTCACACAGCAATCAGCATCACTGTTAGGGCCAAAGAAGGGTCTTCTGACACCCAGATCTGTGTCCTTTGCACTAGAGTCAGGTATTGGACCTTTGCCAAGAGGTGCCTTGGGGCGTTCCTAACTGTGTGTGCCTCACCACCACCCAGCAACAGGGCAGGGAGGCCCGCCTTCTGGGAACAGGCAGAGTTGGTTCCCCCCACCCCTGGGTAGGGTAGGGGGGTGCCTAGGTGTGCACGGCCCCTTCCTGCTGGAAATCTGCTCTGACAGCATCCTCTGTAAGGCAGGGTCCCAGAAGTTAGCCAAAGTGTGGAGGGTGTATGCTAACGAGCTTGAGTGGACTCATCTTGCTGGAAAGAGCTGAGAGACTGCAGCAGCTTGCATTCCCAATGTGGGGATGCCCATGGATATTCTCTGTCCTGGATTGAGGGCTAATGGGCACCTTCCAGAAGGGCTGAGGGTAAGGTAGGCGCATAGGCTTGATGAAGTAGAGTCGTGGAAGAGAGGCTGGTGGGAAGGAGACCTAGGGGCAGAGGTGGAAGAGGAGGCTGTATTTTAAGGAAAGGGAACTTCTTCCCTGAGAGGAGGGGAATAAGGAGTCGGGGAGGCAGGAGTTAGGCAGAGGGAAACAAATTGCCGAAGATGCCTGAGCCTCTGAACTGATGTCTCCACACGTGTGTGCTTCCTCTGTCCTCCCGTAGGAGTCTATATTCTGATCGGAGCCGGCGCCCTCATGATGCTGGTGGGCTTCCTGGGCTGCTGTGGGGCTGTGCAGGAGTCCCAGTGCATGCTGGGACTGGTGAGTCTCCCCTCCGCATCCCCGCGGCCACCCTGACTCCCACCGCCAAAACCTCAGCAGGCCCAGACCCAGACCCACAGAACAGATGGAGGGGGATGGGGTCGAGAAGGTACCCAAAGGGCATGAGCTGTCCTCAGCCTGGGCCCCTCCCCAGTGTGAAGCATAGCCCCTCTTCCTTTCTGGAGCCTGTCTTATCGCTTCCCCTAGGCAACTAAAAGGACTTTGTTTCCCCCTTTTCTCGAGGACCACGTTTGCTTTTTTTCCCTGAATCCACAGGTACCTTTGCCTTCTTCTTCTTCTTCTTCTTCTTGTTTCAAAATCTGTTTTGATCTTTTCCAAACTCCATGGAGTGGATTCACTCCCTTTACTTCCCCAAATCTCTGCGTCTTTTGTGAGCAATGGTAGTTTCCTGCTCACTGACTCTTAACTAACGCCTTGTAAATGCTAGTTCTGGGGGGGCTCGGCTGTGCTCAGCTCTTTCCTCATGTCCGGGCACCTTGCCTCACTGTGGCCTCTGTCCTGGGCTTGGTTAACTGCCTGTTCTGTGAACTTCTTCCCTGCCCCTTCTAGGCTATTCATTTGTGCCACCAGATGCCTGTTCCCCAGGGAGTTGTCCTTCCTTGTCCCAAAATACCCTTTGATTTTCCTGGCTGGTTGGCTGGGACTGTTCTCACCCCGTCCCCTCGCTGCCTTCCAGTTCTTTGGCTTCCTCCTGGTGATATTCGCCATTGAAATAGCTGCGGCCATCTGGGGATATTCCCACAAGGATGAGGTAGGTTTTTCCCATGAGATCTCTTGGGTTTGGGAGTTGGGGGATGGGGGACAGTGAAGCAGGGGGCAAGTCCTGGCTGGGCACTTTGTTCCGCTTTCAGCTGTTGACCAGGCCCCTTATCTCATCGCGTGCCTGTGTGCCAGCGAACATGCCCTCCTCAGGGCAGGGAATGTCAGCACGCTTACTGTCCTGTGCGAGATTGTGTCAGTCATGGTGTTGGCTTATAGTAGATGTTCAGGAACTACCCGTTGGGCCTGTGCGTGTGTGTGTGTCTGTCCGTCTCACACCTCAGCAGCCCTCTCCCCCAACTTTTAGAAAGATTACTCAGAAAATACAGGCTTTCTGTGGGCTGGACACCCTTGCCTCCTCCTCTGATCTATAAATAACACGTTCAAGTGCTGCCCCCATGAGCCAAGTGCTGCCCCCAAGCCTGTGCAAGGTCCACAGATGTTTGAACTATGGGCCCCACTTCCGGACACTTGGCCATCTAGTATGGGAAAAAGACATGAAATCGACAAGGGTCATAGAGGTGATTTATATCCAAAGTACTATGGGATTTGAAAAGGTGGGGTGGGGAAGGGAATCTCTTTTGACTTCATAGACAAGGGAGCCGTGAAACCTTGAATGAGAGATGTGTTCAGGAGGAAAGTTAGTGGAGGCAGGGGACTTCCAGTCAAAGAGGTTGAGCATGGCTGGGCTTGGGCTTACGTGGGGAGCCCTGCAGACTTTTGGACCAGGATGGGCCATATCAGAGTAGTGTTTTTGGAAGGGCTACCTTGTCATGTTCAGCAGGAAGGGGGAAGGAAGAGAGATGCAGGAGGCAGGAACCCTATTGTTTTGTTTTGTTCTTGAGACTAGTCAAGTACGGTAGTGGGAAGCAGGGAAAAATAGACAAGGACTTCCATCTGTAACTGACGTGAGCAATCCATTGAGATAACTCACTACTTTTAGACCAGCCAAGGGTCTAATATTTTTATTAATATTTTTTAATATTTTTTAATATTTTTATTAAAAAATATTTTTATTAAAAAAGTATTTAATACTTTTTAATATTTTTATTAAAAAATAAAAGTAGGCCAGGCGCGGTGGCTCAAGCCTGTAATCCCAGCACTTTGGGAGGCCGAGACGGGCGGATCACGAAGTCAGGAGATCGAGACCATCCTGGCGAACACGGTGAAACCCCGTCTCTACTAAAAAAATACAAAAAACTAGCCGGGTGAGGTGGCGGGCACCTGTAGTCCCAGCTACTCGGGAGGCTGAGGCAGGAGAATGGCGTAGACCCAGGAGGTGGAGCTTGCAGTGAGCTGAGATCCGGCTACTGCACTCCAGCCTGGGCAACAGAGCGAGACTCCGTCTCAAAAAAAAAAAAAGTATCCAAGCAATAACAGCTACAGCCATAGAAATAGGAATGGATCATTGTGAAAAATGTCAGAAAGATGCTGAAGGAAAAATGCTGGCTGTTGGTCTGTTAACTGGATGTGGGTGAGCATCAAAGGGACAGATACGCATCAAATTGGGATGTACCAGATGCAGGCACATAATAATATATCCCCTATATTATAATACAATAGCTGACACGTCCTCCAGATTTACTCTGTACTGGACATAGTGGCAAAGGGCTTAACGTGCAATATCTCATTTAAATTCTCACAATAACTTATGAGCTATAGAGACAAATGTGGAAACTCCGTACAGAGAGGTTTAGTAATTTGCCAAAACTCATACCTAAGTGAAGAGAAAAAGAAGATGGAAGCCTGAGGAAATAGTCAAGTCAGGAGTAGTAGTTTTTAAAATATTATTATCCTTTAGAGCATAGAGATTCAATTGAGGAGCAAAGCAGAGCTGAAGAACTGACCAAAGTATAAGACACAGGGAGAAACAGCCAGAGCGGGTTTCTGGAGGACGTGGGAGGAGATGGGAAGTGCCCAAAGGCCCCGAGAGAAGGCAGTGCTAGCAGCTGCCATCTGCCCAGTGATGTCCAAGCACGTGGCTGAGAGCTTAAAGAGAGAGAACAAGATGGAACACGTAACATTTGTTCGTGGAGAAAGGTGTGAAAATGCCGCCTCTGCCCCTCTCTTGTCTGCCCATCGTAGGTGATTAAGGAAGTTCAGGAGTTTTACAAGGACACCTACAACAAGCTGAAAACCAAGGATGAGCCCCAGCGGGAAACGCTGAAAGCCATCCACTATGCGGTATGTGGCCTTGGCAGAGACACCCTCCTGCGCTCACTCCGGACCGTGTCTGCACACAGCGGTGCTGACTGTACCAGACCAGTGCAAACATTCTAATCATCTTTTTTAAAATGTGTTTCTCTCATCCCCATCCCTGCCTTCTCGCTGTAGTTGGACTGCTGTGGTTTGGCTGGGGGCGTGGAACAGTTTATCTCAGACATCTGCCCCAAGAAGGATGTCCTCGAAACCTTGACCATAAAGGTAAACTCAGAGCAAGATCCTGGTGCCCCTGCACCATTACTGTGGGCAAACCCTGCAAGCATAAAAGTGACAGCAGCCAAGTGCTGCTTCAGAAAGACCCGGTCTGCCTGTGAAAGGGTCCCAGGGCACCCATCTCTTTCTCCCCTACTTTGGGCCCTCTGTTTACTGAAGGGCAATAAAACAAAAGGCCGGGCGCGGTGGCTCAAGCCTGTAATCCCAGCACTTTGGGAGGCCGAGATGGGCGGATCACGAGGTCAGGAGATCGAGACCATCCTGGCTAACACGGTGAAACCCCGTCTCTACTAAGAAATACAAAAACTAGCCGGGCGCGGTGGCGGACGCCTATAGTCCCAGCTACTCGGGAGGCTGAGGCCGGAGAATGGCGTGAACCCGGGAGGCGGAGCTTGCAGTGAGCTGCGATCCGGCCACTGCACTCCAGCCTGGGCTACAGAGCGAGACTCCGTCTCAAAAAAAAAAAATAAAAAATAAAAAATAAAATAAAACAAAGGCCAGACCAGGGGAACGACAAGTGCTCTGGCACCGCCCACTGCTGCCAGCCTGGAAGCTGTCGAGGGCAGGCATGCTTCTGAGTCTTGGACTCCCGCTCTGACTTTGTCAGTGCCTCCTGTCTGTAAGCTGGAGTTAATGTCCAGCTCCAGAGTAGTAAAAAGTGACCTTACAACCGTATCAGAAATAGGCCCCCAAGCAGGGCCTGTCCCTCCTCCTTCCCTGATGTCCTGCCCAAATGTTTAGCATCCATTAGCATAGCCATCCCTTTGCTCCCCTTTCCATCCACCAGCCAGAACTTCTCTTATCCCTGAACACCCCTGTCCCCAGCCCACCCTCTGCCCACCAGTTCTCCCGGGTGAGACGGGTGCCATGGGAGGAAGGAGGTGCCCCGGGAGCAAGGATTGTGTGTGACCCAGGTCTTGGTTTGTCTCCCCAAGTCCTGTCCTGATGCCATCAAAGAGGTCTTCGACAATAAATTCCACATCATCGGCGCAGTGGGCATCGGCATTGCCGTGGTCATGGTGAGTGGCGGGACGTCGTCCCAGGAGGGGGACTGAGGAATTCACACTGATTCAGCCCATGCTCTGCCCAGATACTGCCGCAGTCTGTGCATTTGTCAGCTCACTTTGTCCTCGTGCCCTTAGTATTTCCATTTTACCACTAGGGAATGGAGAGACAGAGAGGCCGCCGTTCTGATCAAAGCCTCTCACCTCCTGAGTGGAGTATCTGAGGTTTCCCCTGGGTTTCTTCAGAGTCGACTCTCTTAGCCATTAAGGTTCAGGGCACATGGGCAGCAGTGCTGGCGCTGCTAGTCCTCAGAGCATGTCTCCTCACGCACCTGCTGTTCTTCTCCCTAAGAAAGGAGTTCACTAGAGGCTACCGGCATGGGAATTATTTCCTGAAGAGCCTCTGAAAATGGGCAGCCAGAAGGAGGTCTCCTGCTAATCAGCCCCTAGAAACCAACAACGGCCAACCAGGTTCCTTGGGGTCATGTCCTCTCTCCCCGTGAGGGAAAGCCCCAGACGGAACATGGTCCTCGCTGGGATGGCCTTGGCTCCCTGAGTCTTCCCCCACCCCCGCCCGCTTCTGCCCCCTTGCCAGACTGCCCCCAAAGAGAGAATCGCCTCCTTTCTCCGGCATCTAAGAAAGGCATGAAGTACCTTTCAGCAAAAGATACAATAATACTTTCTTTCTTTTCTTTCTTTTCTTTTTTTCTTTTTTTGAGACGAAGTTTCACTCTTGTCACCCCGGCTGGAATGCAATGGTGCGATCTCGACTCACTGCAACCTCCACCTCCCAGGTTCAAGCAATTATCCAGCCCCAGCCTCAGCCTCCTGAGTACCTGGGACTACAGACCTGTGCGACCACACCCAGCTAATTATTTTTAGTAAAGATGGGGTTTCACCATGTTGGTCAGGCTGGTCTTGACCTCCTGATTTCAGGTAATCTGCCCACCTTGGCCTCCCAAAGTGCTGGGATTACAGGCGTGAGCCACTGTACCCAGCCAAGATATCACAATACCTTTTAAAATAGAATATTAGGCCGGACGCGGTGGCTCATGCCTGTAATCCCAGCACTTTGGGAGGCCCAGGCGGGCAGATCACAAGGTCAGGAGATTGAGACCATCCTGGCTAACATGGTGAAACCCTGTCTCTACTAAAAATACAAAAAATTAGCTGGGCGTGATGGCAGGCGCCTGTAGTCCCAGCTACTCGGTAGGCTGAGGCAGGAGAATGGCGTAAACCCGGGAGGGCGAGCTTGCAGTGAGCCGAGATCGCGCCACTGCACTCCAGCCTGGGGGACAAAGCGAGACTCCGTCTCAAAAATAAAAAATAAAAATAAGGCCGGGCGCAGTGGCTCACGCCTGTAATCCCAGCACTTTGGGAGGCCGAGACGGGCGGATCACGAGGTCAGGAGATCGAGACCATCCTGGATAACACGGTGAAACCCCGTCTCTACTAAAAATACAAAAATTAGCCGGGCGCGGTGGTGGGCGCCTGTAGTCCCAGCTACTCGGGAGGCTGAGGCAGGAGAATGGCGTGAACCCGGGAGGCGGAGCTTGCAGTGAGTGGAGATTGCACCACTGCACTCCAGCCTGGGCGACAGAGCGAGACTCCATCTCAAAAAAATAAATAAATAATAATAATAATAATAATAATAAAATAAAATATTAACACTTTGGGAGGCCGAGGCAGGCAGATCGCATCACTGCATTCTAGCCTAAGCAACAGAACAAGACTCCGTCTCAAAAAAAAAAAAAAGGAATATTAAATACACACAAAGACAAGCGCAAAAGTACTAACCTGTATGAACTGTAGGAAAACCTGGAATTTGAGCATTTAATTTGGCTCTGAGCTTCCTTGTCCCACCCTGAAAGTTCCCAAGGAAGCTGCTTGTGCACCTGACTGCCAACCCCCCAGATTCCTCACGTCCCGCGTCCTTCTCGTTATCTGGCCTGCATCTCTCCTGCTTCGGTACCTTCTGACTCGTTTGGCCTCCTGGATGCCATTCTCCTTGTCATTTGTCTTGGACTGGGTGACCCGTGTCTCTCCCTTTCCCTCAGCCTGCCTTCACATCAAACCACCCTGATCCTCATGTTTCTTCCTATCTCCCAGATATTTGGCATGATCTTCAGTATGATCCTGTGCTGTGCTATCCGCAGGAACCGCGAGATGGTCTAGAGTCAGCTTACATCCCTGAGCAGGAAAGTTTACCCATGAAGATTGTTGGGATTTGTTTGTTGGTTGTTTGGTTTTTGTTTTTGATTTTGTTTTTTTTTGCCACTAATTTTAGTATTCATTCTGCACTTCTAGATAAAAGCTAAAGTTATTTTATGTTTGTCTTTTAATGCTTCATTCAATATTGACATTTGTAGTTGAGCGGGGGGTTTGGTTTGCTTTGGTTTATATTTTTTCAGTTGTTTGTTTTTGCTTGTTATATTAAGCAGAAATCCTGCAATGAAAGGTACTATATTTGCTAGACTCTAGACAAGATATTGTACATAAAGAATTTTTTTGTCTTTAAATAGATACAAATGTCTATCGACTTTAATCAAGTTGTAACTTATATTGAAGACAATTTGATACATAATAAAAAATTATGACAATGTCCTGGACTGGTTTTGGTTTCTTTAATTATTTTGAGAGCTATTTGGTTTGCAAATGTCTTTCAACTGCTATTAACTCTACCTGCATTTATATGAGAAGTAGTTTGGGCAGTTGCTCACCCCAGTTTGTTTACTAATGAAGACATCTAGATGTGGAAAGATTAAGGGATTCTGATCCAGAGTCACACCGGTGTTAACAGAGGAGTCAGCACCAGCAGCTGGTGCCCAGACGCTCATTCAGCAGTCTGACACGTATATCTTGGGGACATGACAGTACACGTCACACCATGGTGGCAGAACTTTGTTTTATTCACTGCCTAGCCCCCAGTTTCTGGTGCATAGTAGTGCTCAGTATTTTTTTATCAGTGAATATTTGTTGGTTGAATGAATAAATGAGTGTGTACCCATCAGGGTTTCATCAGAGAAGCAGAACCACTAAGAGGTACTTGTTTGAAGAGATTTGTTGTGGGAATTTGACCTTACACAGTCACTGGCACTGGGGCTGCTTAAGCAGGCTCTGCAGACAACTGGGAAGGACAGACGGACGTAACGTAAGGGAGGACAGGCCCGAGCGGGAGCCCTTGAAGGCAGACACATCCGTCTGTGTCAGTTCTTTTTTTTTTTTTGAGACAGGGTCTCGCTCTGTTGCCCAGGCTGGAATGTCATGGCCCAATCTCAGCTCCCTGTAGCCTCCCAAGTAGCTGGGACTACAGGCATGAGCCATCACACCCGGTTAATGTTTGTATTTTTTGTAGAGAAGGGTTTTGCCATGTTGCCCAGCCTGGTCTTGAACTGCTGGTCTCAAGCTATCCACCCGCCTTGGCCTCTCAAAGTGCTGGGATTACAGGTGTGAGCCACCGCACCCCGCCCTGTGTTAGTACCTGCCTCTGCTGAGGTGAGCCAGCAGAGAAGTCACAATTCGTATGAGCTGTGAAATGACCGCTGCTTCACTTCCCACCTCCAAACCTTCCACAAGTTTCTCCTCTGTGCTCTACTCTTAACCGGAAACACACAGGAAGAGAATTCTGGGAAGTGTGGTTCAGCTTACCCAGGTGGACAGATCACAAAGCCACCGCTGCATGGGAGGTGTGGTCCGTGCTCAGACTGCACTGTCGTGCAGGCAAGCAGGCAATAATGGCAGAGTGGGATGAACAGGAGAAAGGTGAAGTGCAGAGGCATAAGAAACCAATTTTTATTTTCCATTCCTTAATTCCATTTGGGTTCCTCCTTAACACTACAAAAAGAAAAACAGGAAAGAAGGATCAAAATGTCCCTGAATGCCATTACATTCAAACATCAGAACACCAAAGTTGATAGCAGTGTTATTCACAATAGCCAAAAGGTGCCAACTCAAATGTCCATCAACAGATAAATGGACAAACAATACATGGCATAGCCATATGATAGAATAGAATTCCACCTTAAATGCTGCAACATGGATGAACCTTGAGTACGCTATGCTCATTGAAATAAGCTAGACACAAAAGGACAAATATTCTACAATTCCCTTGATAGGAGGTACCTGGAACTGGTAAATTTATAAAGAAAATAGATTAAAAGTAACCAGAGGCTAGAGAGAAGGGAAAATAGGGAGTTATGGTATAATGAGTACAGAGTTTCTGTTTGGGATAATGAAGAAGTTCTAGAAATAGATGGTGGTGATTGTTGCAAAACTTTGTGAATATACTTAGTGCCACTACATTGTATGCTTAAAAATTGTTAATATGGGCTGAGCACGGCGGCTCACACCTGTAATCCCAGCACTTTGGGAGGTTTAGGTGGGAGGATTATTTGAGCCCAGTTCAAGACCAACCTGGGCAAAATAGTAAGACCCGATCTCTTTAAAAAACAAAACAAAACAAAACAAAAACAACTGGCTGGGCATGGTGGTGCACACCTGTGGTCCCAGCTACTTGGGATGCTGAGTTGGGCAGATCACCTGAGCCTGGGAGGTCAAGCCTGCAGTGAACCATGATCTCACCACTGCACTCCAGCTGAAGCAACAGAGTGAGACACTGTCTCAAAAAAGGAACAAAAAAAGGGTCAAAGTGGTTAATTGATTATTACATATATTTTACTACACACAAAAAAATAGCTGGGTTGGCATTGTTGAGTGTCCTTGCTGCTCTGTGGCCCTAGGACCCTTGTTAATCTGAGGGCTGACTACTGTTCCGGTTGTGGAAATAACAGGTCAACCATTCGTTTTATTTTATTTTATTATTTTTGGGAGATGTAGTCTCGCTTTGTTGCTGAGGCTGGAGTGCAGTGGCACGATCTCGGGTCACTGCAACCTCTGCCTCCCAGGTTCAAGCCATTCTCATGCCTCAGCTTCCCGAGTAGCCGGGACTACAGGCACTCACCACTACGCCCAGCTAACTTTCCTATTTTTAGTAGAGACGGGTTTTGCCATGTTGGCCAGGCTGGTCTCGAACTCCTGACCTCATGATCCACCCGCCTCAGCCTCCCAAAGTGCTGGGATTACAGGCATGAGCCATCACGCCTGGCCAGCCATTCATTTTATGTAGGAGTGGAGGAGACCCCTGAGGAGTTCTAACATCAGCCCTGCGTGTAGTCGCCAGCTTCTTCTAGAGAAAGCAGGTCTCAGAGGCTACACGCACTTTCCACGCTGCTGCTTTGCTGAAGGGTGGGTTAGCATGGAATAGACCTCGGCTCGTTAAATTCTGGAACACCAGCCGGGCGCGGTTGAGCCTTAGGAAGATTCTGGAAACATGGACTAGGAACTCCTACAGCTCTCCATTTCTGTGCTGCTACATTTTGTTCTCCGAGGAGACCAACTTTGCTACTCAGTCCTCATGGGGTTGGGAAAGGGCTGCCCCCCCAGCTCCCCAGCTTACACAGAGACAACCTCCATTAGCCCCACTTGAAGTTTTAGGAGAGAAAAATTTGACCCAGTTTGAGTCAAATGTCTACCTCTGTCCCTTCAGCTAGCAGCGGGCAGGGAGGGGTGTGTGGAGTAAAGAATCCCTCTGTGACCTATTACCGGGCCTGGCACCAGAAGACAAGGGATCATTGCAAGCTGGCAGACATCCCAAAAGGAGCGGGCTGTCCACACCCTCAATCAGGCCTAAACGAGCCTCCCCTGACTCTTGGCGGACAGGGCCAGGTGTAGCTCTGCAGTTAAGGGAAAACCAGGACGGCCTGCTGCTCTCGGCTCCTGAAGGGCCTTGGAACAAAGGCCTTTTGGAAGTTTAGGTCACAAAAAGGCAACAGACACTGCCAAAGGTAACAACTGCTTTGGGTCCAGAAAGAATCTCCTTGAGCATAAGAGAAGCAGTTGTATGGAGGTGTTGGCCTCTTGGCTCAACTGTAAAAAGCAGCCCAGGGGCAACAAATTTGAATCAAAGCAGCTGGATTTAGTAAAAGGACATTACCCATGTCCTCAAGGACTGAAAGTGCTTTAATATCCATAAACCCCCTGTCCTCCCAAGGCCCTACTCTCCAAACCTATGTCCTCTGGATGGAGTTGAGTGGCCAAGGGTGGGACCAAGACTCCACATGGATCCAGGGCTCATTCCATGATGCTATCATTTCCTAGAGTCCTCCAGGTGTACAGGGAATCTTTTCACTGACAGGTAGACCAGGATATCTCATAAGCTTCTTGGGCACAAGATGGAGCAGTGTAGGTGGAATTCCAGCACAATTAGGCATATCCATGGTTCGGTGAACACAATCATACAAGGGGGAGAGGTCTCTACCTGTGCAGCCCTGCCATGTTCCTTCCTGGTCAACGTTTTAAATGATAACTTGGAATACTACTAAATACAGCCAGGTGCAGGATCACACCTGTAATCCCAGCACTTTGCGAGGCTGAGGTGGGTGGATCACTTGAGGTCAGGAGTTCAAGACCAGCCTGGCCAACATAGTGAAGCACCATCTCTACTAAAAGTACAAAAAATTAGCCAGGCATGGTGGCGGGCACCTGGCTACTCGGGAGGCTGTAATCCCAGCTACTCGGGAGGCTGAAGCAGGAGAATCGCTTGTACCCGGGAGGTGAAGGTTGCAGGGGGCTAAGATCGCACCACCACTGCACTCCAGCATGGGCAACAGAGTGAGACTCCATCTCAAAAAAAAAAAAAAGAAAAGAAAAAAAAAAAAAAAACAGGCTCACACCCGTAATCCCAACACTTTGGGAGGCTGAGGTGGGCGGATCATGAAGTCAGGAGATGGAGATCATCCTGGCCAACATGGTGAAACCCCATCTCTGCTAAAAATACAAAAATTAGCTGAGCGTGGTGGTGCGTGTCCGTAATCCCAGCTACTCAGGAGGCTGAGGCAGGAGAATTGCTTAAAACCAGGGAGGTGGAGGTTGCAGTGAGCCGAGATCACACCACGGCACTTTAGCCTGGTGACAGAGAGACTCAGTCTCAAAAAGAAAAAATAAAAGACTTTTACTAAATACTGTATTGTTATATGTATATTTCACAAGGCTCTGAGAAATACCCAGTAATTTGAGTAACAGAAGTATAGTTCAAAGAGATCTCCGAGACTGGAATAATAGAATATGACACCCAAAGGATATATCTCAACAGGAATAAGTAAACAAAATCAAGCCATCCATACAATATGTTTAGCAGCCCTTGGTCCTTACCACAGCACTTTAAGTTAGCTGGGCAAGCATATATTTGACTGGTTAGATAACAGGGTTTTTCTCATATGTTAAGTCTGGAGGGAATTAGAAGTGTTGATTTAGCAGCTCTGCTCTGTGGAAGATGGCATCTCTGTGATTCTCTTGGCTTGTACCCCACCGTCATAAGGTAGCTGCTGGAGCTCCAGCCATTTCTACATTCACAGCTAGAGGTAGGGGAAAAACAACTGCTAGCCACAGTGATCTCTTCTATCTAAAATGCAAAAGCTTCCCCTGGCAAACTGGAAGTCAACTCACATTTGTACATCACTGACTAGAAATCTGTCACGTGGCTACTCATAGCTCTAAGGGAGACAGAAAATATGAGCATTTAGGTTTCTTTTCAGTCTATCGTGAAGTTTGGAAAATGACAAGTGAGTTAAAGATATTGTATTCCATTTTACATTTGGAGAAAACACACGGTTGAGAGAAGTTAAATATTTGCCCCAATATCATATAGGTAATAGGCTGGATACAGGCTTGAATCCAGGACTCTCTCTCAGTTTCATTGCATATTTCACACAGGGCTGCCTTCCAGGATTAATATCATAGGAGGAAACTTGACAGGAACATCCTGGAACATCTTTTGAGTGGAAGAACCCATTACATAAACGCAGGATGAAGAAAAAATTTCATTTGAAAAAAGATGTGGAAATTGAGCTTACCACAAACTTAATAGAAGCCAAAACTGTGAAGAGAGGATGCATCCAGAGAGGTGTCCAGGTGGAGACAATTGAGCCACAGATGTGACAGGCCCTAGAGGAATATGGTGCTATATTCTGGGGCCATTCCTCAAGAAGAAAGGTGACCATCTACAGAGACCTGGAGAGGACAGAACTTTTTTTGGGGGGGTGGGGGCCTGCCTAAAAACCTTGTCACTCAAGAGGGCAGTGAAGCACCAGGGGATTGTAGCCTGGGGGAGGGATCATCCAACAACACAACCGTCTTTGTTTTCAAATATCTTAAGGGCCATAAGATGAACCAGAACGTATGTTGTCCCATAGTTTCAACTGATGGGCAGAAACTCTCGGGTAAGATTTTGGCTGAACATAAAGGAATCCCCTTTAAACCAGGGCTGTCCAGCAGAAAAAGGGCTCCCCATGAGTGGAGAGCCCCAGGACATAAGAGGGGGCTCCAGGAGAAGCTACAGAGATGTCCTGCATCCACTGGAACTTGATGTCCTCCATCTCTAGGAGCTTATAAAAATGTGGGTCTGCAAGCAAATCCCCAGGGAAGCAGCTCTCTCCTCCTCTGTATCCATTTATGGGGTGGGCGCTGCTAGTAAAAGTTAAGTAATAGGAACAGTGAACATTTTTATGGGCAACCCCAAAATATTTCAAAATAATATTTTATCTCTGAAATTGTTGCTTTTTTTTTTTTTTTTGCACCATGGTTGGGCTCTTTAAGATACAAGAAAGAGAGCATTTAAACCCTTAAATGAGGTTGCTGGAAGGATATTCATCATCTCAACAGCCATGCTACCACTTCTGCATTTTCTAAGCTGGACTCTGCAGAGGCCTGAGACAGTAGCTCATGGCAGACCTGCATCTGGCATCTGCCCCAGCACCTCTGCTTCTCTCTGCATCTCA